GTGTTCGGTCGGGTTCGGTTCGGCTGGCCCTCCAACATCTCTCTAGGCATCTTTTCCGACGTTTCATCTCTCTCAGCTCCTCGGTAAACCAGGTTTACTTTTGGTCATTCAGATCAGCCTACCTCAAAGGGTTGTTGTGGGAATAACAGGAAGGGACAGACAGACACACTCCTGGCTGCCTGGAATTCTCTGAGAAACGCAAGATTATATTTTTAAAAAGTGTGTCTTCCCACCCCAAGCCACGATTAATCCAAGCAAATGCACTTATTTCAGTCTTTATTATTCTAAGCTGGTCTCTTCCCTCAAGCAGAGGACCACATGAAGGCCGAAAGGTTCTGCGCAGCTGCCCTCCCCTGTGTCTCTGATGGTCTTTCCCGCTGTGGAGTTTCCCCCTTCTTGAGTCAGGAAATGGTACGGCCTCCGCAGCTGATGCTCCTCCCACTTCCATGCCTGTCTTTACCAAGGTGCTGTCAAATGGCCTCTCCTGATTGGTGCATCCGTTCCAGACCAAGTGATTGGTTTCTTCACTGGCATTTGTTGCCCGCCTCCTCCTGCTTACCACCAATCAGCAAGGAGATATCCATCAATCGAGGCACTGTGAAGTAGTAAAGGGGAGGATCTGTCTGCTGGGCTCCCCCCACTTTGGGCATCTCCCAACTTAAAACCAGGGGTAATTGAAGAACGGAGGGAAGATACCAAAGCAGAAATAGGGAGGTAGACCCTGCCTTGACCCTGCTGTTACAGATAGTCCTCGACTTACGGCCACAATTTCAGTCTCTAAACAAGGTGGTTGTTAAGTGAATCATGCCCAATTATACAACCTTTTTTTTGCCACGGCTGTTAAGCAAATCACTGCAGTTGTTAAGTGAATCATACGGTCATTAAGCGAATCCGGCTTCCCCTTGTTGACTTAATTTGTTGGAAGCGGGATGGGAAAGGTTGCAAATGAGGTCACATGACCCTGGGCGGTTGCAGCCATCCCCAATACATGTGTGTTGCCGAGCGCCCGGATTTTGTTCACATGACCATAGGGTGGTAAGCGCGTGGACGGTCTAACTCCCTTTTTTCAATGCCGCTGTAAAATGGAACGGTCGCTAAACGAATAGTTGCAAGTCGAGGATTACCTGTCCTCAGTGGGTCGTCAACTCAGCTGTTAGCAGGCCCGAACTGAAACCCCCCCCCCAAATCGGGAATAATAACCTTTTGAGTTTTTGCAACACGGTTTCTGCTCCGGGTTTGTTTCCGATTTTGGAAAGGCGGTTGAAAGTTCCTCCTTTTTACAGGCGGGAAGTTGACACGGGACCCCTAAATACCTTTTCCGCTTCCGGATTTGGTACTTGCAGAATGAAAGCATCAGGTCACTTTCTCCAAGTCGGTTCTCTTTTCCCCTGCTGAGTTTCTGCCCTGTTCTTTTCTGGTATGGAAGCTTGTGTTTACCTAAGGGAGGTGACACAGAACCTCCAGGTTGCAGAGCAGTCTACCTTTCAGCTCTGCCCGAGGGGGGGGGGCACCTTTTCTGCTATCATGGATCCTCCAGTGAGGCGGTTACAAGGAAAACAGCACTGGAGGTGGAACCCAGCTGTCCACCTGTGGATAGAAGGACTTCAACTCCCAGAATTCCCCAGCCAGCATGTGCTGGCTGGGGAATTCTGGGAGTTGAAGTCCACCTATCTTGGAAGGTGGAGAAACACTGCCTTGGCGCCTGAACAGCTTTTGGAGAATCTGAACTCACATCTCTCCCTTTGGCTGGACGCCCTGTACCCAGGAGACTTGGAAAGGGGCGGGGGTCGCTGAGACGATGGCACCCCACGGATGGGGGGCATTCTCCTGCAAGATGGGCGACAGCTGTTCTTCCTTGCCATTGTCGCCTGGATAGCCAGTCCGGTTCCTTCTGCCAACCCTGGACAACACAACCGAGGCCACCAGCAACACCCCAGCAACGGCACACAGCACCACACCGACAGCTCGGCAGATGCCCAGGGCGTCGTTGTACTCTACGGCTCGCTGGTCCAGCACCACAAACTCAGCTTCTCCAATGTCCTCCAACTTGGAGGGCAGGAGGGACCCCGTGGTTAGAGCCGCCGCGCCGGTGAGCAACAGCAGAGTCCCGGCTGAAAGTGTCACCTGGAAAGGAGAAGGTAGAATGAGAGACAAGCATCAGTTAGAACAATTAACCAGTGGAACTACCTGCCTCCAGAAGCGGTGAATGCTCCAACACTGGACGTTTTTAAGAAGAGACTGGACAGCCATTTGTCCGAAATGGTATAGGGTTTCCTGCCTGAGCAGGGGGTTGAACTAGATGACCTCCAAGGTCCCTTCCAACTTTTTTTTTATTATTATTATTATTATTATTATTATTATTATTATTATTATTATTATTATTAGTGTGGTAAACAGTCAAAAGTCACTTTTCTCACTGCTGTTGCAGCTTTGAATGGTCACTAAACAAATGGCTGTAAGTCAAGGACTACCTCAAATAATAAGCTAATTTAACAAACTGGGCCTTTAACCAACTCAACCTAAGCCCCAAACCAAACCAATCACGGTTACTACTAACCAAGCTTAGTGTGTTGCACAAAAAGCAGCTATTAGCTCTTTCGGTGACCTGATTGACCGAGTTGTGTGAATGCAGCAATTGGGGACGAGGGCTGGGTGTGACGGCCCTGCCTTTCTAGGCACAATCTTGTTCTCAAAAGCTTTCTTCCCATATACTAAAATCAATCTTAAAGAAAAGCATTGCTGGCTGGAGGATTCTGGGAGTTGAAGTCCACACCTCTTAAGGTGGTCCTTAAAGTGACCTGAAGATCCAATCCGTGCCTGTAGGTGGCGACAGAGACATCCCAGAGACTAACCAAAGGGGTTTGTGTCCTGACCAGAGAGGGGAAGGGGGCTGCAAATCAACTCTTGGACCCCCCCCCCCAATTTTTCAAAAGCCTTATGCAATCTTCCAGCATATGTTTGCCTCCAACCCAACATCTTTGCCACTGAGTCAGATGTTTTCCCATTTAACTGGCTGATCTACAGAGTTAAGCGGGAGGAGTGGGGGGAGGCCACAAAAGGCCCATTATGGATCCTTTTTTATTGTATTGTAAGATGCTGGATAGTGATGTTCTATAAATAATAATAAATCTATATAAATAAAAATGTAAACGTTCGTTTGTTCAAAAACTTAAATCTCAAAAAGTTCTTCACTGATTGCTTTGAAATTTTGACATGACGTTGCATTCGAATACGCGCGTGTTTTTATACACCTACTATTATATAGATGTCACACCTGTGACAGGTAAAAACAAAAAAGGACCAATCTTTAGAATTGTGCGGTTTAGATCTAGACACGGATTGCTTCTCACATGGACAATTATATGTTGCGTGTTCTAGAGTCAGCAAACCAGACAATATATCTGCACAGACAATGGAACAACAAAAAATATTGTATACCCACAAGCATTGTGAAATTAAACATATTACAAACGTGCGCTTTCTCTTTTCTTTCTTTTCCATTTAACCAGACTGAGCTACAGCAACGCGTGGCCGGGTACAGCTAGTTTAATAAATAAAATAATCTCCCCACTTGCAATCTGGGCAAGTGTGTTATAATAATAATAATAGTAATAGTAATAATAATAATAATAATAATAATAATAATAATAATAATAATAATAATAATAATAATAATAATAATGTTGGAAGGGACCTTGGAGGTCATTTAGTCCAACCCTCTGCTCTGGCAGGAAACCCTATACCATTTCAGACAAATGGCTGTCCAGTCTCTTCTTAAAAACTTCCAGTGTTGGAGCATTCACCGCTTCTGTTGTGGGAAGGCACTCTGTATGTGCTCAGAGAACACGCCACAAAGCAATGGGTGCCCTGCTCCTAGTTTGATGGACTTCAACTCCCAGAATTCTGGGAGTTGAAGTCCACCAGTCTTGAAGGGGCCAGGTTTGGAGACCCCTGACCTAGAAAATTGTGTACAGAGCTAAGTGGGAGGAGTGGAGGGGAGGCCACAAAAGGCCCATTATGGATCCTTTTTTATTGCATTGTAAAATGCCCAGGATTGATGATGTTCTATAAATTTAATAAATAACATAATCTCCCTACTTGCAATCTGGGCCAGTGTGTTGTGGGAAGGCACTCTGTTTGTGCTCAGAGAACACGCCACAAAGCAATGGGTGCCTGGCTCCTGGTTGAAAAATTTCACCTTCCAGAAGACGGGGGTCCGGTCATCCTTGGTGGGGGACGTAGCAGCATTCTCCAAATTGTCCTCCGAATGGGTGCCAGTGCAATCCTCGTAGAAAAGATGCAGGTACGAACGGACGCCGTACCATTTGCCCTGCTCCATGTTTGGACCCCGCTGACAGCCACAGGTGTGCCCTCCGTCCGTGGCCATCAGTCCTGCAGGGAGCAAGCGGGCAGGTCAGACTGGATTGCATAGCACCGTGGTGGCAGACCTATGGCACGGGTGCCAGAGGTGGCACTCAGAGCCCTCTCTATGGGCACGCGCACCGTCGCCCCAGTCCTAGGCCTTCAGCTGGGTTTTATAAAACCTTTTCACTTTAGGCCTCTGCCGCTGTGTGCAAAAAAAAAAAAAAAAAAAAAGGTTCCATCAATCAATTTCAACTTCTCGCGGGGAAAAAAAAGATCTTGCAAAGTTGGAATTGATTGATTGAACTTTTTAGTCCCACCCAGTCTGCCGTTACCACCGCAGCCACGCCCACCCAATGGGCCACACCCACCCAATGGGCCACGCCCACCCAATAGGCCATGCCCACCCGGCACCTGACGATACATAAGTGGGTTTTGGGTTGCAGTTTGGGCACTCGGTCTCTAAAAAGTTCGCCATCACTGGCATAGCATTATAAGTAGTCCACCTATCCTCCAAAGCACCAGAAGGACAAGAAGCAACGGGTGGAAACTCATCAAGGAGAGAAGCAACCTGGAACTAAGGAGGAATTTCCTGACAGGGAGAACAATTAACCAGCGGAACTACCTGCCTCCAGAACTTGGGGGTGCTCCAACACTGGCGGTTTTTAAGAAGAGACTGGACAACCATTTGTCTGAAATGGTATTTGTCTGAGCAGGGGGCTGGACTAGAAGACCTCCAAGTTCCCTTCCAGTTCTATTCTGATTGATTGATTGAATGGTTGATTGATTGATAGAAACCTCTCACTTCCATTTTTAACGAGGGCGATTAAAATATATAAAGAACAATTGCAGGATTTGGGTATGGCCAGTCCAGAGAAAAGAAGGCCCAGGGGTGACATGATAGCAGTCTTCCAGTATTTGAGGGGCTGCCCCAAAGAAGAGGGGATCAAATTATTCTCCAAAGCACCAGAAGGGCAGGACAAGAAGCAACAGATGGAAACTGACCAAAGAGAGAAACAACCTGGAACTAAGGAGAAATTTCCTGACAGGAAGGACAATTAACCAGTGGAACAGCTTGACTCCAGAAGCTGTGAATGCTCCAACACTGGAAATTTTTAAGAAGAGACTGGACAGCCATTTGTCTGAAATGGGGCAGGGTTTCCTGCCTGAGCAGGGGGCTGGACTAGAAGACCTCCAAGGTCCCTTCCGACTCTGTTATTCTTTTATTCCAGTAAAGGGGCAGGGTTAAAATTTCGTTTTTAATATGTGCCATTGTGCCCACAGGGGGGAAAAATGACAACAAAGGTTATCTAATCTAATCTAATTGTGAAGTTGGACTAGAAGACCTCCAATTCTGTTATTCTGCCATTATTAGCACTTTGGCTTGCAATGGAAATTCTGCCCCCCAATTGTAGTTGTATGTTAATTAATGTTAAAATCTTAGATCTCTGCAGGGCTCTTTTTTGCTGGTAATTGGATTGAAGATTTTACTCGCAGGGGGTCCTCAGCTTACGACAAGTGAGCCCAAAATTTCTGTTGCTAAGCAAGACAGTTGTTAAGAGAATTTTGTGATCTTTTTTGCCCCCCTTAGTAAGCAAATTACTATGGTCATTAAGTGAATCCTGCAGTCATTAAGCGAATCTGGCCGCCTGCATTGACTTTGCTTGTCGGGAAGCTGGCTGGGAAGGCTACAAATGGTGATCACGTGACCCTGGGAGGGTGCAACCGTCGTAAGGACATGCCAGTGGCCAAGTGCCCAAATTTTGATCACCTGACTCACTTTTTCAGTGCCGTGGTAAATTTGAACGGTCACTAAATGAATGGTTGTAAGCCGAGGACTGCCTGTGTTTGACTTGCCTCTTGTTAAAGAATAAAATTATATATTTCTTAGTTAAGAGGAAGTGAAGAGATTAGGAAATTATTTATATTTGCCATTTTTCATTTTTCTTGCAATTCTCTCTTCTCTCTTATTGTTTTATTCAAACTGTTCATAAAAAAAATATTTGGGGAAAAAAAAGGATTCCCCAGTCGTTCTGTGTGAGCTCATCTGTCAAGACTTGAACCCGGGACCATCAGCCTGTGGTACAGAAGACAGGCTGGGCCCCTGAAAGAGGCAGGAGAAGGCTGAAAAATGATGGGGGTGATGCCACAAGGATTTTCCCTCTATGTTGGGGCTTCTTTCCTTCCCTTTGAATCAGAAACTGGGGGTGGGTATTCAGGGGTCTAGTACCCCCTCCCCTGTGGGTGGCCAACCCAGCGGTATCCCTCCCCTGCCCTCCCCTGCCCCCCTCCCCACCACACCTATCCATGAAGCTTGCCTGCCCGGATGGCTGGTCCTTAGCTGGCAGCATCCTCTTTTTCTGATTGGCCGTTGCCATGGGAACTGCCTCCATACAGAGATGAAGCCGGATGGTGGCAAAGTCAGCCATCCCTGCCCTGCCTCAGCTGCAGAGACGCCAGACCAGTTGGTGCAAGAGGAAGTGGAGGCCTGGGAGGGAGGGAGGAAGGAAGGAAGGAAGGAAGGAAGGAAGGAAGGAAGGAAGGAAGGAA